ATTTCACCTGCTGAAATGAACGATACCCTTTCAGTTATTCATGCCTTTCTGCGTGTTTTGCAAACAGACCTCATCGCTAAGGATTATGACTGATTAGAACGATCAATAAGTGGTGCACGCAGCATATAAGGTTGCGTGGCGCATGACTTCTTAAAGACCAGACTTCATAGTACATCGCACGACCCTCCTGCATCTAGTTGTATGACAGAAGGAGGTGAGGTTGAGAATTTAGGTAAGGCATGGCTCTATATTGCTTAAGCGCCTATAGTGCCAGATGCCACTCGTACCATTTTGCACACTAGTGCCGTATCGCCTCATCACGGACGACGTTTCAGTAGTTGGTCGTACTCCTTATATGCTACCGTATAAATCTTCGATCATATTCGCACGACAGTGTATGTTAAATGGCGTATGACTCTCCAGAACCAGAGTTTGTTGTGTATTGCATCTCATTCCTCCTAGTTCATGCGAAACAGGCAAGGCGGTAGCGTGTTTTACTTAATTTGGCCTGGAATAAGCTGACTATACTTACTAATAACAAAAACTTGTTTTCCGTATATGAATTAATTTATGACGATGGTTATCCTCGATTCTATAGTTGGTGACGAGATCAAGTAAACATAATCTTTCATCTAGCGGCCCTACGTTTCGACCGAAGGCACAATGGGGGTGCGGTTCCGAATGGGCAAAGAGGTCGACATCAGGCTCCGAAGGTGCCGGGTTTGAGTCTCAAAAAAATTTAATTTTTCTTAACCGTTAATTTTAGTGAGCAAGGAATTAATTTCAATGCGTTTAGGCGCAACTAGCCGAGAAACGAACAGGAACTAGTTGCATAATGAACAATGGGGATAACATGGTGTTGTGTGGTAATGTCAGAATAGACGAGACGTACAGCCATGCTATCTGATGCAAGCATCACATATAGCTGTAATTCATCTTGACCCATCTGATGCTTTTTTATCCAATGTGATATTCAATAAGCGGTAAAATACCTGTTATCATTAATCGCCATCTGAGTAAAAAAATAATTAACAGTTAAACGCTCAGAAGATGGCAAAATGCACACGAGTTTTGAATGACTAGGAAAAATCATTTTCTTCATGAGGTAATTAATAGCCAAATTACAAATCAAGTTAACTAACCTCAATAAATGGTCAGAAATGCAGCCGATAGCATGAAGCAGACAGGTCCACGGTCCATAAGCATTCAAATACCCTGAATCACAGTTTCCAGGAGATTCAGGCTCGCTTGTTCTCTATGCAAGTTATGCACCTCATCATACGGGCAGAGCATATGCAGAAGCAACAGCGACAGCTACAGAAAAGTTGCCAAAAAGAGAATGAACCGAGGAAGTTTTGAAAGCTGCGTTGGCTTTTGAAACTTGACGACAGGCAAAGCTCAGGAAAGATGGCCAGGAACAAAATTAAAAAGCGCTACGGAAAGATGAGTTCTAATGGGAGGCTGAAATAACGGAGAGTTTAAAAACGACATTAAAACTTCGTACTTCGTTCAGGGAACTCCACTGCGAATCTGGTATAATAATGGCTTGACTGACGACCATGAAAAGGAGGACAGCAGCTTCAAGTTTGATGGTATATTAAAAAAGCAACTTTAATCGACTAAACCCACCCTGATAATCCTATGCCAAGAAAAGCTATAAATATCGATCCTGGTCATCTGATCGTGCAGGAGAAAAGCGATGCCTTAGGCTGAAGAAAGAACGGCAGAATTGCAACAATTTATGGAATACGTGGAATACTGAGTTTCCTGAAGAGTCAGGAACAAACAAAACAAATGCATCATCAACTCTTTCTGGATTGGTACTGCAATAAGAGATGATCTACAATGACTGAACGAACGTCTTAGTGGTTCCGACATTTATGAAAGGTTGCTACACTAATCCAAACAACCGTAGTAATACACTATTACAATGTATATGACAACCCAATATTCTACTACTGTCTTAAATTAGAAATGTCACTAGCTGTCACCGCACCTTCTGACATACGAGTCAGCTGAAAAATTTATTATTCGCCTAAAATAAATAAACGCTGCGTGGTACCAAAGCATCCATATCAACAATGGCTACAATTTCATTAATTTTCCTCTTTCTTTCTTCATTCATATCGTAAAGCCATTCATCCATTGACTCATTTAATAATTCATTTGTTTATTCATCGATTCATACTTTCATGCATTAATATATTCATTCTTTTGCTAATTCTTTCGCATAATCATTCATTCTTTCATGCATTGTTTAACCATTCCTATATTCGAACTTTCGTTTATGCATTCAATCGTTGAATCACTTATTCACCTATCCATTCGTCCACTATTTCACTCATTCAGTGAGTGGCGCAATAGGAAGTCCTTATGCTTTGTACTCCAGGCGAACCGGTTCGAAGTCTATCGGTGCATAAACCTTTTATTGTTCTCTTAATCAAAGAAGTTTTCCCACTGTGCTTCGATGTTACTAGCCAAAGAAAGGTTAGCAAGTCGCTGACCCTTTATTAGGGAGAGTAACTGCATGGCATTCTTGTATGATCAGGCCAATGTGCTCAAGGCTTATGACCGAATTGCACGATTCGTGCGCCTCGTGGCTGCAATCAACTTGAAGCACATGCGAGTTGACCAAATTAGCACAAATTTTAAATACAAAAAATCATATTCATTCCTTTGTGATACACGTTTTTCTTTACTGTTCTATATTCTTAATAACATACTTTACTCTTGTGCGTCTACGATGATCGAACAATGTCATTTCAGAGAAAATCGAAAATGGCAAAATTAGACTGATTCCGGTGGCGATTCTGGGCGAAACGTATGGAAGCAACAGCAACTACGAGTTTGCGCCCAATTTCCGGAACCCGACATGGGTATCGAAGAAGAAATCAGAAGCGGACTGGACGAAGCTCGGCTGGACGTGGGGTTGAATCAAACCGATACGATGAATATTTGATAATAACACGATATTTCTAAGCTGTAAGCTGAAGTTGTGAAAGGATGCGAAAATATGCTAATAAATGTGGCAAAATAAATTTTCTGAACTTATGATGAATTTTGGGCTTAGTAACCACAGTGAAGACGCTCGCAGATATACTGATTAACAGCGTAACAACGTGGATCAGATAAAAGTGAAAAAAAACAAGTTGTGAAACTCACCTTACGGACGATCGCCAGAATTGGAAACCGACCGTTTTATTCGCAGAATCCATGCTGAAATCCTACGGGTGACAGGAGATGCTGATGGCGATAATAAGCGACTCAACAGCCACAAAACAAACTCAACTCAACTGAAATACAAACATTAACGATGGCTTAGTTTTGAACTTTCTCAGAGGAATCGCTGCACTCACGCGTCTCGACCTGGTCCGGAGTACAGACATCCTCGAGTGCCTTGGTGCACAGCCGGAAAAGACAACGAAGCAACGAGCGCTTACCCAACCAAGGTTAACCGGCGGCACATGTACTGAAGTGCTCTGGTCTGGAGCCAGACTGTCTTTTGCCAAAGTTAGGAGTTAGAAACACTCTTCTGCGGGTGTCTGCCGCTGCGACCTGAAAAAAACGGAAAGCGATTGATTGATAGTTGTGGAGAACAGTGAGAAGCAGCGAGCAAGAAAACCATATACATTCAGTACCAACGTATTATATTCTCCATTCATTGAGTATTTAACTCCTGAGTGAGTGAAAACAACGCAAAACAAGAACAACGACAGGGGTCGAGCTTTATGCTGATCATCACTGTAACACAGCGTAAAACACCATCTTTAATTTTGTCAGGGCGCTTAGCGGAAAGACGGTGGGGTGGCAACCACTGGAATATAAGTGGTCGTGTGAGACGTCTTTTGTTTTGCCGGGCCGCTGAACGAAAGGACCGTGGGAAAGCACGTGACTCGAATGTAAGCGGCCATAAGACGGTGGCCTTCTTTCATCGGGGTGCTTAGCGGAATGGTTGCTGAAAGGCGAGAACCGGAAGGCGTATTGATTGGCCCTCGCTTCGGCCCATGGAAGATATAAAATGGACGGTTCCAACGAAGAAACAAGATGCTTAATGTTTTGGAGTGCGCTATTGAGTAAATCGATGTTTTAGTTCTTGATCTTGATGTGTGGACATCTTCACAAGGCCACACACCTGGTATGCTAAGGGTGAGGTCTCCGAATCGCCTAGACCTCCTCTGAGGTCTGTTAGCTTCACACTGAATGAGGAGTCAACGCCAATTTCAGCCCCATGATGCGCTTGCCTCAGAAGCATGGCCGTACCTCTCGACCATTCTGGAATGATCACGCCAGAACTCCATCCTACTCTAATTGTTAATCAGTCAGGAACCTGTTACCAGTCTCTCTGATAGCTGCACTCAAGTAACGTGGGATAAATTCTTTGCTGAAGGGAATTGATGGTCAAGAAAAAGTTGCAAAAGTTCCAAACCGACATTTGTTCCATGGCTTCGCCGCGCCGCAAACCACGATTATATTATTCCAACACAAATGATTTAGTTAGACGAATGAATAATCACTGCGAACGTTTGGGCCTGTATTTCACGAGCTTCCTTCGGAGTAAACCAGTGGATGAGCCTGGGAAATTCTTCTTGTCGCCTGCAACAGTTAATATTTCGGTAGCAGAAGGTTAGCCGTTGGTCGGGTGAATTTTCATGTCATCCGTGTAGAAGATGAGAGATAGCTTCGTATTGTTCCTTTTCTCTAAAACTTAGTCGTTTCTTGATTTGCTTAGCACGTACCAAACCACTGTAGCCTAATGAGGATTGAGGCAGACCCATAAAAAACGCCTCTAGTGATCCTAATCAATTTTTATTTTAGCCGACATGGACGTTTCTCAACACGCAGCCGTGTTAGCCAGGTTTTCTTGAAGCGGACCATCATGACAACGATATTCTTATCCACCTTGCACATTTTCAGCACTATCAGCAGCCATGAATAAGGTATCGTATCAAGTGCTTTCTTATAATCGACCCATCTGAGTGACGTAGTACGGCTTGCATGAGGACTTAGTAGCGCCTGAATCAACCATAAGCAGCCTTGCAGTTTCGGTAACTTGTAACGATGTCAATATTCTGTTACGATAGTATTCGAAATAAGATGCGATCTGATCTTCATGGTCAGTGCAGATGTCAAGAGTCTGTGGACAGATGGCAGACACGTTTATTAACTAATTTTTAGATAATATATATTTTCAATCAGGAAGCTAGGCGCGAGACTAACATCTTCTAATTCTCTCAGAAACTGTTATGGCAATGCATTTTGGATGGGCTTGAACCATTTCCATAAGCAATTTTGGATACAATGTATTTCGGGTGATTTCCAGTCGAACGCTATTCAGCAACAGGTTTGATCAGGGTAGATGGCATTATCCTGATGTTTTGGGTAACATTCATTTCTTCCAGTAGCCATTTCGGTTCAGCGTCATTCCCGCACCATGTTCCTAGGTTTTACTTCATTTTCTGTGCGTCGCTTTACTTCCTTTGTCTTGGATTTCTTATTCGATAGCTTGGGCTGTTCTAATGAGCGAAAGAAATCCTTGCAATTGTTTCTAACATACTGTTCTGATGCCTCCTTTTGATTGCCTCGTTATTTCGCTTGATTCCGCAGCGATAGACTGCAGTGTTCTGTCTTAAACCCTGTACCTTCAGCAAGGCGAGGCAGATGGTTCTCTGACATTCACAATCCCACAGTTCTCACAATTTGTCTTCAATTTTGAAGCAAACTTTTTAATGTGGTAGGTGGTTAAGATCTCAGTTAAAAGTAGCTTTGTTTTTTCGTCTTACAGCGAAATAATTTGCATTTTATTTCCGCCACCAAGGTCTGACTGCTTCTTCTTTGCTTGTCTGATGTGCCAACCCAGGATGGTACAGAGCAAGTAAAGCTGCCTGGGCCTACTGACACGTTTTTTCAAAGCTTTGGCTTTATGACAAGTTTCTTGCCAGCGCCTTATCAGAAATGTTCACATTTTTCACAGAACTGTTATATGGAATTATAGAAATCTACTGACCTCGGTGGAAGAACATTCCTTCTGTATTTACTTGGAAGGCAATAAAGTGCCTTCGAATTTTCCGATGGTACATCGTCAATCTGTCTTCATTGTTGCTTTCTCGTTGGTCTTCGCCCATGCCTACAACTTCTTCATACTTTGTTGTTGTTCCTATTTTCTGGATTCCACAATTTCGTTTGTTTCGAAGAGGTCAGCTTGTTCAGTGGCACCATTGATGTTATGACACAATGAACGGTTTCTTGCTTCATGCTGTATAACTTCATTCTTGATGTCAGGTATCTTGCTGTCTGATAGGAACTGACGGTCTAAGACAAGTTTAGCTTGATCTTTCTTAAGTTCCTGTTGTTCCGGTCATATTTTTTTCCAAATGGAATGAATTCCCTGGCGGCAATCAGTCTTTTCCACTCCCACACTTTGTACCTGCTAGACGTGCTAGCATGCGTAAAATATTTATTTCTTTGCTCAAGTTCATCCGGCAACTTTTCCCGATTATTCCGGGGATGTGTTCAAGACTTCCGGTGTTCTGCCGCAACTCACTCAGTTGCATCTTCGTTTATCGTTCTTTTCCTCGTTGTTGCAGCCATACGATGAACGAAGCCACAGTTCATCACAGATGCTGGGTAGAATATTGTTTGACATTGTCGATATTACAAGGTAAAGTGATGACTGATCAAAAGTAACTTTTTCTACAGTTTATTATATCACGACTGGATTTAAATGGATAATTGTTGCTACCATATAAGGTTAATTTATTAAACTTTTCTTCTTCTTTAAGAAATTTGTTACAAAGCAGCAGAGCTCTTCTTATTAAAGCTGTAACTACAGACCTTTCATTACTTAAATAATTATGCGAGTTAAGGTTAAGATAATTGTGATGTACAACTTTCGATAAACATTAGTTTTACAGCGGTTATCAGGGTTAATTGTTAGCTCACCAAGAAGATACGAATAATTTTTCTGTTGATTAACCTTATATTTTGAATAAAGACTCCACTGAAAGTGTCTTATTTTCTTTCCATAATCTTTGTGATGGGATGACAAAAATATTATCAACGAATTTTTGAAAACCCTTGAAAACAGGCCTGGTTTTTAGTAACGTTTTCCACGTGTTCAGTGAAAATTTTGGCAAAATTGGGCTATACTTGGTTGCCCATGGGGACACTGGTCATTCTCGATGCATACATATTATAATTCTGAGTACCGTATCTAATATTGATGGCTAATTAAACCAACGATGATTAGGGACTATTATCTCAAAGCAAGAGATGACCGCAGCCAAACGAAAATACTTCAAGCCCGTTGCGATACCACAAGTCGTTAAACACTTAAAGCAAATGATAATTATTCATGAGGTTGCAGCTGAACTCGATATGGTGAAATGATGGTCGGCATGCCAATGGTTGAACACTTTCCTTCGCATTTCTTCTTCTGAGGTAGATAAATCAGAACCACATTTTAGGCAGAAAATTAGTGACTAAGCATGCTTACTACACAGGTGTCGACTTTGCCTTTAAAAGAAGACATTCCTGGCCGATGACAAATAAACATCAACGATGACGTATCACAAACTCAGCGAAGTCACCAATGGCCCCAAACCATCATCGTGGAAACTAGCAATTGTACTTTAACTATGAATCAGCAAATGGAACATTCGTTGAATTCCAGGCCCAGAATCAAAAGCAATTTTAAAGCTGATGTTAGCTGGGCCATAGCAATCAAAAATGAAATCGCACCTATGACGATATAAAAGCATGCGATGGAACAGCTGAAGCTGGCGCCACTGATACACTTAAGAATACCGGCATGGATGACCTATATACTGCCAAATGGAAATTACTTTCTGTTGCCACTGACAATTAATTCTGTTCTTTTTCTTGACTTCAGAGCACCACTTACTTGAGATCATACAACTAGATATCTTTACTTCATAACAAGAATACAGCTGAACAAGTTGTATATCCAATACATGTTCCATTTAATTGAAGGAGATTCCATAATAAATGGTGTAGGTTAAACGTACTGAGTGATCGAAGGTCAAGGGATGCAGCAACTTAATGGGTGTCTATCTAAATCAGCGACAGAGAAGTCAACAATCATTATAAGCACAGCAACCCAAATCTACTGATAATATCATATCATCCGGTGCATTAATATGTATGAGTCATTCTTTAGTCAATATTCGTGGGACGCAATTGTTTGGTTTAAAATAACAGGCACAAAAGTGAGGAAATGAACCGAATACCACAGTATTACACAGCTTTTGCTACGATTAGAACACGGTTCGCCAGTATAATAAATAGCATTCTCAATACATGACGATGAAAATTATTCCACCTCATTTAACAAAAAAACGCACGCGTCACTAACAAAATAAAATGCCATAATCGCAAAAGAACAAGCAATGAACCGAGATAAAACAACAGCATAAAATCATAAAAGCAATAAAGCTGAAATGAAACGTGAAAAATAGCCAGTTACTTAAAACTATATACAATATCCATAAAAGTCCGCGTAAAACAATAATAGCGACAATAAAGTAAAAATCAGGTCTTTTGTAAAGATACAGCAGTACCCGTTCGTCTCCTAGACCGGTTCCAGTAGATTCGTAAAAAAATCGAACAAAAAACGATGATGATACCGGCTATTCCGCGAACTGCGATTCGGTGCCTGTAGATGAGGCACGATAAAAAAATCGAGAGAGCCTGTCGCACGGCCATGATGATAGTGAAAGTGACGGCACCAAATTCGGATACCGTGTAAAAAATGAACAGCTGTCCCACAGCACTGGCTACCGATGTCGCTAGCACGTCCAAACCGAAGCTGCTGTGGCGACTGAAAAACGCAACCGATGCCGAAAGACTGTTCTGTTGCACCAGAGTGACCAGGGTCAAAACGAAGCTGAATGCGTTGACGCCGAACATCATCTGTACGGTCGAGATACGGTAGTTTCTGAACAGAGCGCTTTGCCAGTTAGCGGTGAAACTGTCGAAAGTCAGGTAACCAATCATCAGAATTACGCCAGAGACGGTGGTCGCGTCGGATGTGACCATCTTCGATGA